GGGGGGAAGGATTGCATGGAGGGGATTGTAACCATGGCAATGAGACGATATACGATAGAATGAATGTAAAACTAATGTAAACTATCACATTAATTCACAATAAAAAAATAAAAAAAAGCTGTAGGTTTGAGTCCACCAGAGGCACCTTGGTGATCTACTTCTGAAAACTCAGTGATTAAAAACCCTATGGAGCAGTTTTACTCTGACACACATGGGATCACCACAAGCTAGAATCAACTCACTGACAACTTCAAAGATATAAATGGAAAGATACTGTGTACTCATGGATTGGAAGATGTTATTAAAATACCAGTACTATGGAACCCTGGAGTTCTGGTATGGTGCTATGGGATAAAGCACTGGGCCACAAGGTTGGTTTGAACACCAAGGTCAGCAGTTCAAGCTCACCAGCCACTCCTTGGAGACCCTATACAGGGTAGCTATGAGTTGGAACTGATTCAACAGCACTTAGCAACAACAATAATACAGAACCCTCATCCATGGCTGGTGGGGATGTAAAATGGTACAGCTATTGTAGAAAACAGCCTGGTGTTTCATCACAAAACTAGATGTCACTTGTTGCACGCTTAGAGATGTACCCTAGGGATCTAATAGAAGTGGCACGAACAGACATATACACAACTATGTTCATTGCAGTATTACTCACAATAGCAAAAAGATAAAAATAACCTAAAAGCACATCAATGGATGAATAGATCCACAAACTGTGGTCCATGCAAATGCACACAGTGGATGATAGCTCAGCCAAAAATACAAGGAAGGCCCTGAGACATACAGTAGCAGGGATGAACCTTGAGTCCAAAACAAACAGATAAATGTTATATGTTCTCACTTTTATAAAATAACCTAGAGAGATAAATGGAGTCCTGGTGTGGTGCTGGAGGATTAGCACTGGACCATTTACTGTAGGGTCATTGGTTCAAACCCACCAGCCGCTCCTTGGAAATGCTATACAGGGTTGCCATGAGTCAGAACCAACTCAGTGGCACTTAACAATATTAATGATCATTAGTGGTTACCAGGGATGTGGTGGGGTAAGGGGAAAAGAAGTACTCCATAAGTAGTAGTCACTTTTTGCTTCTAGTAGTGGGAAGGGTGGGACCAAACGTGGGTGGAGTTTGCATAGCATGTAATCAATGTCAATAAGCTATATGTAGGGAAAAGGGATGAATGGGCAAATGCTCAGTTGCTTGCAACAATAAAACAGCCAAAAAAAATATTAAAAAGGAAAAACGGGGTGTCGGGGAGCAGAGCTACAGATGTTCACACTAAGTAGACATAACCAATCACTTCATGGACTCCTGATACAGTGTTGTAGGATCAGCACTGGACTGTAACCCACAAGGTTGGCAGTTCAAACCCACCAGCTGCTCCTCAGAAATCCTATACAGGGTTGCTATGAGTCAGAACCGACTCAACGGCACTTAACAACAACAAATCACTTCATTGGATTTGTTTCTTGATTTGGGGGCTTGGGGCAGTGGTCTCATGGGACAATGCAGTCAATTAGCATGATATAATTTAAAGAAACCATTTTATTGTGCTATAGGTAAAAGGTTACATAGCAAATTCGTTTTCAAAATCAATAGTTCATACACAAATTGTTCCGTGACATTGGCTTCAGTCCCCAAAGTGTGTTAGCACGCTCCCTATTTCCTCCCTGGGTTCCCCATTTTCATTCATCCTGTTTCCCTTCTTTCCTGTCTTCTGATCTTTGGTTTTGGCCAAATAGTGCCATTTTGATCTCTCATATTGGTGGATCTGAGGCACACATTCTTTACACTGTTTGCTTTACCATTCCATTTCATATTTGGCTGGAAGGTGGTCTTCCAGAGTATCTTCAGTTTCAAGTTAGAAGGTTTTTTCAGGGTAATAGTCTCAGAGGTTCCTCTAGTTTCCTTTTTACCAGTAATTCTGGTCTTGTTTTTGGCTTTGAATTTTGTTCTACATTTTTTTAACCCATTCTAATTGGGACTTCTATTGTGGTCTTGGCCAGAGTGGTCTGTAGTAGAAGCCAGGCACCATCTAGTTCTGGACTCAGGTTAGAGAGGGCTGCAGTTCATGCAGATCACTAGTCCTGTAGGCTAATTACCTTCATTCTTCTATGCTCCAGGCAGGAAGAGACTAATAGATGCTTCCTAGATAATTGCTTACAAGCTTTTAAGAACCTCAGATCAGATTCACCAGAGTAGAATGTAGAATATTATCTTTATGAACTATGTTTTAACCATTGACTTAGATGTTCCCATAATACAAGAGCGCTTCCCAAAATTCAGTCAAATGGAATTTTTCCGTAAACTTTTGGAAGCTC